ATTTCAAAAAGAAAATAATTAAAAAAACTAACTCTCGTTGGTTGATTTGGTTGATTTTCCATTTCTGATTGTGAGGGTGGCTCTGAGAGATGGAGATAGACGGATTTCGCCGGAGATGGGGACGGATTTCGTCGGAGATGGGTGAGAGAGTGAGAGATGGAGATGGGACTGAGTTGTGATTTTAGGTTTTAGGTTATGAGTTACGATTACGGGATATACTGTGGACAGTTCAGTGTTCCAATATATTAATATTCGTGTTTGGAATTTAAAAATAAAATACTTGGCCAGGATACTAATGGCGCTTTGAAAATCGCATTGCGATTATGTATTATCGCGTTGCGAAAGTCAGTATCTCATTGCGATTTTGTATTATCGCATTGCGATAGTAAGTATCGCATTGCGATAGTAAGTATCACATTGCGATAGTCAGTATCGCATTGCGATTTTCCCAATTCGCGTTGCGATTTACTTATTCGCATTGTGAATTGGGAAAATCGCAACGATACTGTAGACCATCGCAACGCGATTTTCAACTATCGCAACGCGAAATGCAACGCGAATTTGCGATAATGGAGATCGCGTTGCGAATTAGCGATCGCATTGCGATTTTGTTGGTCATTTTGGCAAATCCGAAAAAAGTTGGTTAAAATCGTATATTATATGGGATTTTTGGTCACTGAGGTTATTTTCTCTTATAATTATACGTCGAGTAATTTAGAATTTTAAATTTTTATAAATTAAATTAGTGTGTTCATCGTTAGCGGTAGTTAAAATCATCTTAAAAACTTAATATTTCAACATTTACTTTCAAACACTTTGATTCTGATCTATATAAAAAATAAAATAAAAACTTTGCTCAAATGTTTTTCCCCTTACAGATAAACAATATCATCTTAATTAGTGTTGACAATGAATTGATCGTGCCGATTATAACAGCCGATAAAAGCGATGCATTGGACCTGAACCCCGTGGTTTGGAACAACACTGGTGCGTAAAACATGGCCACGTTGATCCCTGTAAACTGCTGGAAAACATGAATGATGGTGCCGCAGGGCACCGACGGGATGCTTTGCTTTTTGGTTAGTTCCCTGAAAGGGTGTTTGATTTTATCGGAGATTTCGGTGGCACCAACGATCTCTTCGAACTCTTTTTCGACATCATCTACGCCTCTAATTCTCTTATGAGTTTTATGACCTCTTTATTTCTTTCTCTTTCTATTAGACTCGCCGGGGTCTCCACAATTGAAAGACCCGACAAGGATGATTATGGCTGGCACGGCGGCGACGCCCAATGAAATACGCCAACCGTAGGGTTTTTTGTTCGATGTGAAATAGTTAACCAAGTTAGCTATCAGGATGCCGACAGTGATAAGCAACTGAAAGCAAACATTGAGTCCTCCTCCATATTTCGCCGGTGCAATTTCTGTAATGATCAGTGGGACTACCTGGTTTCCACAGCCTACACCGGCACCAAGGAATAGCCTTCCGAGGATTAACATACCGAGTTTGTTGGCCGTAACGTTGAGAACAGCTCCAACGAAGAAGAAGATAGAGGCAGCTTGCATGGTTGGTTTTCGACCAAATTTCTTGCTCATAAAGGAGGTTGCACACATGGATGGACCGAGGGGATCGGGTGAGTGTAGTCTCTCTGAAATTTTAAAATTACATTATTTTTTAGATTTTTCTATGTTTTTTAAGCAGAGGGACGACGTGAAGAGCTGAAGATATTCGTCGACGAATTTGCAGTAGTTGTTTTCATGGGCGTGGTGCTTTTTAATGTATACATTGGGGAAGAACTTCATCAGGAATTCGTTCATCCCTACCACTCCTGTACACATATATAGCAAAATAGTTAGATTTTGTGGCGTTTAATAAAGGATCTATCTTCCACAATTCGTGACGTTAATAACATAATTTTCATATTATAACATCATTGTCAGAAAATAATATGATCTTAAATCTGTAGTAAAATTCATAGTATAAATATATATATATATCATAAAACGAGTTTAAAAGTCCAAATCCAATAAAATAATAACCCAAATTCCCTTTTAAATATACAAAAATAAAATAATGGAATAATAGGTAAAAAAAATCTAAAATAGTCCATACAATATTAAAATGAAAATGTGTGACTAGTCGATCATCTAAATATCAGTCGTATCTAAAAGTCAAAAGGACCTAAAAAGACAAACTAAAAGAGTGAGTTATAAAGTCCAATGTGTCCTCTAAAGCAAAACAAAAATATCTTAATGATGCAATATAAAATCAAACAACAGTAAAGATATAACATGAAATTTACACAACTTTACCTTTTGTAACGGATAATTGGATGGGTCAGAAGAGTATCCCAATCACAAACAGAAGTCAGAACGGGGATTTAGCCCTCCGAAGAGGATCCTAAACAAATTAGGACGTGAATATAATCACATACAGAAACAGGATCGTGAATATAATCTAATGCAGAAACATGATGAGATATAATCCCATGTATTAGGACATGGATATAATCCAATGCAGAATCAGAATGAAAATATAATTTCATACAGAATCAGGACATGAATATAATCCAATGCAGAATGACATATATGCATCATTATTCAAATTTGCTCTCAAATTTAGTTCAATTCCGAACTATACTTCCCCTTAGGTGGTACAACAAATAACTTTTCCAAGAATACATTCGAAAAATCTCTCACAGTATGAATCTGTTCAATTTCAATAATAGACTTCCTCGAATCCAGAATATAAGCAAAGTACGCTACGACACCTTTTCAAATCATTTTCAGAAAATAACACCAAAAAGTGTGTCTAAAAGTCACATTTTATTTAACATAATTAAGACTTTAAGCAATAAATAATGTAAAACAAGATTTTTGGGTTAGATTGGCAAAACGGACTGCAGAAACATGTCATAGTCAACAGTTAACGGTCACTAATCCAGTTCAATTAGCAATTCTCTCAGATCGATTCAGAGGTTAGATCAACTCAGGGCCACCAGAAAATATTTTAGAATACGTGAATCACTTACAAACGTCAGTTTCTCGAAAAGATTGACGGAGATGAGATTTTAGCGAAACTCGAATATTTAACCCTTCTCCGATTACAAATGACAACAGCGGACGACGAACCAATAACACCAAATAAACGGGATCGACGAGAACACAATGCTGCCAGAGGTGTAAAACACAACAACACAATTAGCGACAAATAGAAGAAAAAAACCAAATCAAAAGATGGTTGGGAGAGAGAGTACATGATAGAGAGAATGGCGGGGAATCACACGTACCAGGGAAAAAGAGTGAAAAAGAAAAGGATAGGGTTTTAAAATAACGTATGAGCAAATTACGTTATAAATCCTCACACTTTCTAGAGTTTCCAAATTTGTACCAAAATCTTAAAACACCTTAATTCAGTCCTTGTAATTTGGAATGTGACATTAACATTTAAAAATCTATATTATTAGTATTTTATAAAGAATTATCCTAATTATCGCCTGCTCTTAAATTTTAAATTTTCATGGGATAATCTTAACAAAATTTATAAAATAAACATTTCACGATGGCTATAGGTGTATACATGGATTATACATACTGATAAATCATTATCCATATCGATAAATATTAGGCAATTCATAGTCTGGTCTATAAAATAAACATTTAATATATCCTCAAACAAAAGTATTTGATTTAATTCAAAATATAAACGTGGATGGTTGAAATCAACTGTCATAAATGAGGAGACTTTTACGAGAAAAAATATGTTATATTTGAATGTCTTAATCTCAATCATTGAACTTAATTAATCTTTTTGTACCGTTTTGGCATACCAGTATATTTGAACGTAATTAGTGTTTGTCCTTTAACGTTTTGTGTTCAAGAGTTTCTTCTCGCACTCTATAGCAAAAACATATTTTTAGTGGTGTTTTTATAATCCTATAATGGCGTTTTTAAACGAATAAATTAAATCTCTTTGTAACGTCATGTGAACTATCACATTAGTACCTCAGACTATCAATTACCGTAGACCTAGATTCATCCTAAAAGATATGTAGGTCTTGTTTTATTTTTTATAATGAGGTTCCTACAATGTTTTATAATAAGGTGAAATTGTAACATATTAAAATTTAAGAAGATTGAATCTAAGATGAACATAAATAAGATTTTTTTTGTCCGATAAACACCATAAATTTACTGATATTTTTAGAAAGAAATTATTACAATTGAATTCTTGAGACAATAAAGAAAAAAATAGAAGCTTATACTTTTTAAATTTTGTCAAAGGAAAATAATTATTTCTAGGTTAACAGATTATTTTTTAAAGTATAGACCTCGAAACTTTGAGGCTTTGTGACGCATCACATGCTACACTTGTCAATGGACGGACCTGCGTGGACCTTTACATTAGCATCGTAAACTATTACATCAGTACTATAACGGTCAATAACGACTATGGATTTAAGGGCTTAATTGAGAGTGAAAAAATTCAGAGATAACTAATTTATTTTAAAGTTCGAGAACCTTAGAAAACCATTAAATCTTTTTTTTTCTTTTCATTTCATCAAATAGTACAAAATACTTCTACAATATTAAATTTTCCTGGTACATTTAGTGTTCTTATACATATGTCCGACTATGTATTGAATACATGTGTCATGTATGAAAATTTCAATGACGGATTGTAGGCTTAAAACAAAACTGAAACAACTATTTCAAGCTCTACAGTAGTTGAGCATTGTCACAGTGGAGAAACCTCCTAGATGTTTCTTAGGTAAAAAAAATGAAGAAATTTATTTCCTCTCAACTGTAACATTCAATTTATGATGCAATGGAACTAGAACATTAACTTATCTTCAAGGTAACTGGAACAATTGGGGTTTTCTTTTTTACTATTTAGTTGCAGTTCTAGTTTAAACGTATATCCTACTTTTGTCTATATGTTCAAGATTTACAGTATATATCTGCTTACATTAATTCATGGAAGAGTTTCAGCTTTTCTATATGCTGAAAGTTACTCTAAACTGTTTCTGTCCCCGAACTGATGGTTTTTAGATGTGCCAATATTGTGTATATTGCCTCATTTTGCCACTTCGTTACTATCATTTTCCATGGTGTTGACAGCCTTGAATTCAGATTCTTCCGGTTTAGATGCTTCTATGGCGGTCGTATGGTCTACCAGCATGCTTTTTGCAGTAGTATCTACACCTGAGATGCTTTGACCAATGGCCTTGGGATTATCCTCCTTTGATTCCAGTGCACCTGAAACACTTTCTTGACTACTCAAATTTTGTGCATCTCCACTATTTTTAATGTCCTTCAAGCTGATACTTTCTCCTTTTGAAGTAGGTAGCCCAACACTGGAATTGGCTTTGGCTAATGTTCTGGATTCATGTTCTGTATCTTTAACAGATCCTGCACTAGTTGCCCCACTGATATTTGATGGTTTCATGATAGCCTTTTGGCTGCTGGATATTTGGGGCTCACCTTCTCCATCAAGAACATGGGTCAAGCACTCGTTGTTGGCCATCTTATCAGTTAAGGACTCAATTACATTGCAGATTAGATCAACTTTTGCTGCAGACTTCATTAGAAAGGTTTCAACTCAATGTCAGTAAAGAATGAATAACTAATATAACTTTCTGATCAATAAGTAGAGTAATAATTGGGAACAGACAAAATTTTGGTGGTTTTGATATAGTTTAACTGGAAACATGCTGCATTAGTTTACAGCATAGCTAGTTGATATAAGATTTTCATCTATTACGAATTAAAAGGGGGACATTCCATGAAACATAAAGGAGAAACAATGACGTGATATAGAAGTTACTAAAACATAAAATCAAAGGATACTGTATTGTTGTTGCAATTTAGTGCTAAGATTAAGAAGTGGGATTACCTTTTCTGTCTCCATAGTGTTAGGATCAGCTGACTTGGCATTTCCTTCATTTGATTTTGATGGATCAGTTCCAGAGTTATGTTCAGTCAATTTTTCTGATCCTCCAAGACGCTCGATAAAATCAGGATTACTTTCACCATATGGTTTTAATGCTTCTTTCGCATCCATTGAATTCGTCGAAGTTTTAGATTCATCTTTACTGGATTTTATAGAAGAATCTTCCTTTCCATGAGTGCCTTCTAGGACAAGTTCATTCATGTTATGGACAGGGCTACCAATAGGACTCTCCTTTGTTGTGCTAGACGAACCCTGTTATGCGAGTCAAAACATGCTAAAACTGTACTTTAAGACTACTAAATACACATCCATACAAGTGTAAGGTGCAGAGAATGGAGGTGTAGGAACAAAAGAAAATGGAAAAAGTATTTATTTCCAGATGTGAATTCATAAACTTCAAACGTTAAACATGATTTCATGAACAGTGAAATGCATTAAAAATATGGAAATCAGTTATTGATACTCTCATACAGACCTCTGATGTTCCAGGATTGCAATTACTGGACGAGTCATCTAGTGAATTCTCAACCAAATGCTGTGAAATTGGGAGCATGTTAAAAGTTGAGCTCTCCTGTGGTTGGTTGCTTGCTGAATTGTACCTCTCTATGTCTTCCATAACAGATTGTGGCCGACCGTTTTGTCTTTGTTGCTCCACATTTGATATGGGTATTCTCTGTACCGGGATGTTTTGTGGTAACACAGACTTTGGCGACACATACGAGCTGAGATGAGTTTGTTCAATCGCCAATCTGTGAGTTAGATCCATTGCAATAGAACTTTCTAATCTTTGTTCCACTCCAGAAACATTATCCTCAACAATATCTTGATTAACTATGCTTTGAACAGAATTAGGTGCATCCCCATTATTATACTCGGTTAAGTTTAGTGTATCTTGTCCAATATTCTTTGAAGGTTGGTCTCTACTTTGAACTGCATTTGGTGTGTCTGCAGTGTCATTATTAGTTAAGTTATGAGTATCTTCTTCAACATATTTCGACTGTTGGCTTTCCTCCATCTTCTTTTGAGAGTCTATAGTTCTTGTAGACTCATGAGATGTTTCTATATTGCAGTGCTTGTACTTGCAGGAATCTAAATTGATTGCCTCATCTGGTTTTCTCATCTCTCCTAAAGCTGCCGGTTCGATGAATGCTTGGGCTCCATCGTCTCTGGTTTCAGATGACTTCAATTCTAAAGTGTTAGCATTTCCTTGAGTTATCGGCTTCACATTACAAACGATGTTCAATTCTTCTATAGGCTTCTGCTGTTGAATAGTTACAGTAGGTTAGTTTAACACCATTTTCCTGATATTCAGAAATCAGCAGCAAATAAAGGTAAAACAAATGTCCTAACTTCCACAAAAGGAGGTAATAAAGTTGCAAACACAGAAGTAAGCCTAAATAAGAACTGGATATGAGGAAAAACTTGATCTCATTTCATTTCAATGCTAAAAGTTATGTTTGCTTTTATTTCTCCAAAATGAAATAACTGACAGACCACAGGCTAAATTGTTAATCAATCCTAAAGTTTTGTGTTTGCTTTATTTTACTATTTAGATTACTTAGATTAGACTCTGAGACGAGTACCTGACACAAGTATATATATCCGACAATAGTATACTCATATATTTGGAGGATCATATTCCAATATCAATGTGTTGCAAACAAGTTTCAAAGAATACATTTACTTTAGGAAAAATAAAGAGTTTGGGAAATATAGTTTACATTCTCAATACCTCAGAACAGTAGTGAAATAACTAACTGACCTCTGGCTGCTGGAAACAAGGCTCAGGAGGTGAACGAACCAACGACTTCTCTGTTAACTGCATGGTTTTTCTCTGATCTTCAGGTGATATATTTTCTGAAACATTGGGAGTCGCATCTTCATGAGTTTCACGGTTAATATTTGCTGGATAGGATGCACCGTCTTCAGTTGTATCTAACCTTGAAGATAGTGAACTTGTGTCATTCAAAATTTGTGTGGCTTCCTGTTCAGATGGAAAGATTGATGCAGTTGGCTCCTCAGGTTTCTTGTCTAAACCAGAAAGCTTTACTTCAACAGAATCCTCTTCAATAATATCATCCAATTCTCTCAGTTTTTCTTGATTTGCCTCTCTTGTTAAGTTAAAGGAACCTGACCACAATTCTTCATTGTCAGAATTGATATCCCTTTCAACATCTCCATCATATGTAACATCACCTTCAACAGGTGAACCTGTTCCATCGGTTGATAAGGTAGTTGAACCAACTTCTGAGACTTCAACTTGCAAATCAGAAGCTATGGAACAGTTTCGAGTATGACTTTGTCGCCTAAATGTATTGTAAAACAAATTAAATTCAGTCCTGCGTGGAGATGGGCTGGGATCAAATGGAAGTTTGCTAAAATTTCTCCCCTTGGGAGGAATCGAAAGATTAAGAGCCTTTCGGACTTGATTGGCACATAGAGTCAGAGGTTTAGTCGTTTGATCTAAGCCTGATGCAGAGTCATCAGATGAAGATGGTGAGGAGCATGAATCATTGTTTTTTGTTGAATCTATATCCATTCTTATTTCACTTCCACTCAAAACATGAGGGTTTTCATTGTTTTCTGCTATTTCAGTCTTATCATTAGCAGCTTCTGTAATCTTTTCATTTTTCTCTCCCGACGAGTTCATTTCCTCATTGTGATTGGACTCTTCTATCTCAATAACATCAATTTCACTTCCAAAAGCAATGGAATTCTGCCGAAGCGGACCTCCATCATCTGAGAAAAGGGTAAGTGTTAAATAATTCCGTTAGGAAATAACACACTACAAAAAGAAAGAATTTTTTTCCTACACATAATTAGCAGTAGACTGCACAATCAAATTATTGTCCTAAACATGTTCTTCCCCTTTAGGTAGTTTAAAATCTTTAAGTTCCATTTTTTAGCACAGTTTTAGGCAGAGCCTTCAGGAAATTCGTTCTTTTCATTGATATCCACAAAATTTTATAAGACTTCCAATATGGATAAGTGTAGCAAGAAACTATGGATATCAAGGACCTTTTAACAATATAAAAAATGGAGATGGACAATGGAGAAAAATGCTGAATTTTTTAATGTTTTGCTTACCTGGTGACCTTCTGAATCTATCGACTGCAGGACCTCCTACAAGCCTATTTTCTGCACCATAGTAGGGATTAAACTGATCATTGGGATCTGGAGTGGTATCGAATGTAAACAACGGTCCATGACAGAAGCTCTCATGCCTGCAGAAAAGCATTTCCTTTTGGTTGGCTGGAATGAATTCTTTTAGAAAACTATCAGCCGTGAGATTTGGTTTTTCTTCAAATGGGTCATAAGGTAGGTCAAATGGATTCTGTGTAGGCTGCAAGACGGAAGGGGCAGAACCAGGCATTTGTAACCCTTCATCATTGGCATTATTTGAAGCACCGAGAATGTTGTTTTTAACTATTAGAATTGGAGCAATTTGACTATGGGGAACAATGCCCTTGTCCATCAGGCTTTTCTCAATTGCCATTTTGAACATCTTTCTTGCTCTACGTTTAGCCATTAAACTTTCCAACCTTTGGTGTCTTTCTGACCCAAGATCCATTAAATTCTTCTCATCTTCCTTCGTCCATTCAACCATCTTATTCCTATCTTCCTGCACCTCTACGTCCTCAGCATTTCTCCTTTCTTCCGATCTTCCTACATCAAATACACCACCAGTCCCACCCCGACCACCATTGCTAAGACTTTTTCCTGAGTGGCCTCCGAAGCTATCACCCAACACGCTACGAGGTTCCGACGTCTCATTATCAAAGAGCGAATTCCCCTCATTCAGTGCTTGATCATTTCGAGTCTCATTCTGGGAAGAACTCCCTCCAAGTTCCATATTAGAGCTTCCATTCACATCTAAGGCCAACTTCGAATCTTCTTCCAACAAACTGGATTTACCGGGCTGAATATCATATATACCTCTCGAAAAAAGCACGTGTGGACTATCGTCTCTATCCCATTCTAGGACTTCCTTTCGAGCATTTCTTCGAACACTTTTCTGGTGTCGTAACGAAGGGACCTTGAGTTTATTTACGTCGGGAGATCGTTTCTCCTCGTTTGATCTGTCTACATAAGCAGATGATCTCTCCTCACTGTCTTTTTTCTCAACCATTTGGACTTCAGGATGTTTGGTTTTCCAATAAAATCGGACGTAAATCGCAGTGCAGATAATAATCGGGGAAAAGTAAATCAAAATGGGGAAAAAAGTAGGAAAATACGTGTACACGAAGAAAGCACAGATAACAAAACCTGACAGAAATGGATATTTTCTTACAAATTTATAACTACAACTTCCAGAAAATCGAATGATTTTGCAGACAAAAAGTCCAATACCTTTTGCACCAAAACCCATTTCTTTTCTATTTTCCTAAATTTTTAGAAATCAAACCAATAAAATGAACAACATAACCGGGCATAAATAATCAAATATAAGTGTCTATAACCCCACCCGAACTTGAAGAATTTCGGCTCAAACTTGAATCTCCAACATAATTAAAATAACGATAAAAAAGATATTTTCCTTATTTTTTGTGTTGAGGAGAAAAACAAAGCAAAATTGTAGAAGAGAGGTGAGGAGTGATTTTGGGTTTCTAATCCTCCATTTTAGAACTCCCTTTGCCGTTTTCATTTCTCCGCTTCCCTTGATTTATGGAATATATACAGAGCAAAATAGAAAACCGGTACATGTAAGGGAATATGGTAGTTAATATTGCTGTCTAATTTAGCCATATGACATTGGATTTCTACACAACTATTCAATGCCACCTGTACTTGTGTCCTAATTTTAATCTTCATCTTAAAATAATATCATCAAATGAGTATGTGTTGGTCAATATTCTTTTATATGTAGTTTTGTTGTATGGTAGCCTAATATAAGGTTAAGGAAATACACTGTCAGAAATGTTAATATTTTTTTCAATATTTTCGATAGAGCGCTAATTAAAATGTTATTTTTTTTACCGGAAACACTAATTTCGCCACTTAAAATGAATATTTTTGATATTAACATTTTCGGTAGAAAAAAATAACATTTTAGGTAGCACCTGATATTAATATTTCTTATAGAAAAAATAACATTTTAGGTACCGTTCTACAAAAAATATTTAAAAAATAGTAACATTCCCGGTAATACCTTTCCTTAACCTTATATTAGGTTGTCAACATCCCTTATTTTATATGTCAGGTCCATTTGAAACCATTTGAAATAATATCCAACCTTTAATAGTAAAATTGAATTTTGTTATTATGTTAAGATAGTTGTTCATCTAATAATGCATTTCTTGTTATTCTCTATGCAAATTGTGGATATTTATATATATATATATACCTTCTTAAATAATAAATTTAAAATATTTCATAGTTTCAATTGATTCGTTTATAATATATAGTTGAGAATATATAAAACATTCTTGTACACTTGATTTCAAGTTATAGACTCGTGAACATATAATACGAGCATAATGTTAGAACTAAAATCATAATAAATATGAAAATTAATTCAGATCTAATTATGTCAAATTATTAAGTATAAAATACTAGAATGCGGAAGCGTATCTATATTAATTGATAGATTGAAATACTTGAATCTTTCTTTGGTTGTGATCGTCCAAGAAGATAGAGTTCTCTTGAGTATAAATTCTTGGATGGAGATGAGAGTAAATACGAGATTGTGTATTTTTTTGGGACCATAACCCCTTTATATAGCTGATTTAAGAATCAGTTATTGTATGTACTTATAACTCTGCCCCTTATCGAATTATAAATATAACTTTAATAATATCTACACTTTTATTTCTATGATACTTCTAATTGGTTGTATACGCTTCATTGTATACGCTTTCCTTTTATTCAGAAATTGAGAAAGTTGAAGGTGAAAAGCTTCAAGAATGGTTGAAATTGGTCGCTGCGCCTGAGGAACTAACAGCCTTCATCAGAGGCAGGCAAGAATATAATGCTCATTTAGTGTCAACTGCAGCTTTCTTCAGGTCTTGAACCACGTCAATGATCATATGACCCTCCTGGGGTTACCATCAGTGGGCTCCCTTGACAAATTTTTGTATATCTCAAACAAGGTGAATTTTGGCTTTTTTATTGTTAACGGTATCAAGTTTATTCATTGCTTTTATTCTCACAACACTTACCAGAAGGAAACATAGTGAAAGAGGCTGAAGATCAATTTCCTGAAGATTGCTTTCAAGCTTGTGTCCCCCATCCTTGGACATGGTGTGGATATCCAGGTTGGTCTCCAGTGTATGTTGTGTTGTATATTATCTATGTTAAATTCGAGTTCAAATTTAAATTCTCTATAATATACCTAACAACAAATATTAGTCGTTGAAAGGACATTTGCTTTCAACAATTTAAAGTCGGGTGAATCGATAACGTTATTTATTGTAATATAGATTTAAACTGAAATTAGGCAAGTCTTGGTTTCATCTATTAACTCAGTCTATTTTACCTTTTTAAAGTGCATAGATATGTAATATGTTTATTACAAAAATTTTACCTGTGCCATAAAAAAATAAATTATAAATATTTAAATTGGAATATATTTTTTTGGAAAATTTTAAGTTAGAACTAATAGGATATTAATTATTATGACAATTTTGTCTATAAATCAATATATCATATGTATTAAATAATTATTTATATTATAATAAATTTATAAAACAGAATAATTTAATAAATTACTATTATTATTTATCAACAATTTAATTTAATTAAAATGAAAAATCAAATCGAACTAAATAATTTTATTCAACAGTTCGAGAATGAAAACGACATCTTTTATCTTATTTATTTTTTTACTATTTTTTTTTTTGAAGAAATCTATTTACCTGTTTTAAAGTCGGTAAAACCAGCAGCTTGAGCCACTAAGTTGAGCTTTCTGATCAAAGATTTCAGAATCCTTGAAATTGGCGAGCCAATCTGCTATTAGGGTTCGTTTGCAGGAATCAAATTTCAAAATAAAAAACCTCTGGTCAATGGCAAGCGAGCATAATAAAATCTATCACGAAAGGCAAAGATTACAATTTTGCCTCTTGCATTCGCTTAACAATCTCTTTCAGGTACCTTCCCCCTTTTTCTTTCCTAGTATTGGCAATGGGTTTTCATTAATAATTCGTATCTTTTGTTACAATTCAGCAAAAGGATGCCTTTACTCGTGCAAGTTTGGATTCAGTAGCCGAAAGACTCGTTCTTGGTGACCCAGGAAAGGAAAGTTGGACACCCTTTTCTTTAGTCTTCAAGCCTCACCACAATTCACTTACTGGAAACTATGATATAAATGTTTTAATTGCTGCACTAGAAGGGAGAGGGAAGACTGTGATTTGGCATGATGGTCGAAACGGGGCATCAAGTATCGATCTCGACGATGGATTATTGATGGGAATTGTGGTCAATGTTCCTGTTAAACGATATGCTGGGCTTTGGAAAAGTAGGTATTGGATTGCTGTAAGAAGGATTGATGGAGTTTGGTACAACTTGGATAGTGATCTTCTGGCACCTCAGTGTCTTGAGGATTGTGGAGAAGTTAGGGAATTCTTGGATTTTATCGTCAGTCATGATGGGCAGGTTTTGCTTGTCAAAAATGAGAATAGACAATGAGTTTCTACATTATTTGGAAATTTGAATATTGAATATCTATGTATTATTTTTGTACTGTTGAAAGATTAAGATACGGTTTACTGAAGAATTGAGATTATAGACTTGTTTATGCTTTTTTGGCTAAACATCAGTTGGAATTTGACCAATTGACTGCGTTTAAGCTTTCAGTTTGCTAGTTTCTCTGAAGGTGGCTTATACATGGTTGTTTGGTTCTCTGGTAATTGTCACATAGTGCTTCAAATCTGAAAGGTTTTTTTTCCAATGAACAATCTTTTTTACCAATTGAAATAGGAAAGAGTAGCTAGATCTGCTTAGCACACAGGAAAGGAAAAGAAAATGAAAAAAGGGATATGCCTAGAGAACATGGTAATAGATGTTTTAACTCTAGTTAGTGTTTTGATTTTTGGTTAGCCTATGATCGCCATCACATGAACTTTCAGCCTGTGTCACCTTTCCTCTATCACATCATTTGAGATCTGGGTTTTATGTGTCCTCAAGTAAAGATCTACTGGTATCTGGTAGTTGCTGCAGTAACTTTTCGGCCCTGGGTTGAGTGGTTAGGAAACCTTTTCTTCTTCTTATTTTTTTTTTTTAGTTTTGGACTGTGGATTTCAGGATTTGAACTACAAAGTTCAAAGTTACTAGATATTACAATGAACCAGCCTGGTTTGTTCATCTCTAAAACCTCATAAAATCTTCTTATTCATGCATCAAGTTAACCAAGAATTGCAGGCATATCTTGGCTTCGAGTTTTGCCTTTAAGTTCATCAGCAACAAATACACTACTTATTCTTTACAAATAATCCAACACCTTTATAATCGAATAGGTTTGCCGACATTCGATATACGAGTGGACCGGAACTCATGAATGCACTTTGCTTGTAGTGGAGATTTGCCTTAATCAGATACCTCTGACCTCCAAACTACGTGTATCTAGTGAAATGTGTAAAAATGGAAACAGGGTAGGAAGAATCTACGTGAATCCAGCTGTCGGCAAAGAATATATCCATTAGTTAGGCCGTCGTGTTAGGTCCCTTGTCTTGAACTCAATCTGGCTTAAAAATCCTTCAACATAATGAAAGCTTTTGCATCCATTTTCTGCACTGATAAAACAAAATCCTCTTCTACTTCATCAGTGTACTGTGATTTTGGATTTTCGGACACGTAAAACACTATCTACAATTAACTGCAGAAGTGGATTTAAAGTTTGAAACTTTCAGCTATATAGATTTATCAAAAAAGTCATGTCACCTTAAACTTCTTTTACTAAAGGGAAGAACAGAAGAAGGGTCTCTTAAAAAAACAAAGAATATCCAATTAAAATAAACCCACCTCCTTTTCTCTGTGTGAAACATCCCTTTTAGAGATTCGGATTCCAAACGAAAAAGGGCAGTAAATCAAAGAAAACTGAAAGGAGGCTACCTTACCCTAACTTTTCTTTGTTAATTTTTTTTTACCGAATTTAACCACCAACGTTAATAAAATTGACATAATTATATATTTAGTCTTTAATATTTACACATTCTATCAATTTAGTCAATATTTTAATTTATTTAAATAAATTTAATCTTCCAATTCAAATGTGTCACATGTAACTATATGTGTAGAGAGAAAAATTTAAGAATAGAAAGTGATGTTAGAAATTCAAGTCAATAACCCCTTGGCTATGCCTTTTCCACTAGGCTAGGCCATCCAATTGTCTTGTAATTGCACAATGTTGTATATGTTGTGCTTTATATTATTTCACACACACATATATTAAATTATTAAAATAAATCTAATAAATAAATTATATTTCATATATATATATATATATATATATATATTAAATTATAGTTAATGTAAGACTTAAAAATAAAATTGACTTTAATATTTTTATTTAATTTTTACAATTATTTTAGAATAACAATATATAAATTATATTAAAAATAAAATTATATTAAAATTATTTATAGAATTCAAATAAAAAAATAGAAATAATTTAACTTAAATATTAAAAATATTAAAATCATTTTAAATTAAATTAAATTATTTACAGAAAATGAGTTTCATATAATTTAATTTTTAAATTAAATTATTTTTATTTTGTGATTTGTATTCTCTAAATAATTTTAAAATAATTTTATTTTTTAATATAATTTATATATTATTATTTTAAAATAATTGTAAAAAATAAAATAAAATATTAAACTCAGTTTTATTTTTAAATCTTATATTAACTATAATTTAATATATATATATATATATATATATGAAATATAATTTATTTATTAGATTTGTTTATATATATATATATGTGTGTGTCTATATATGAAATAATATTAAACACAACATATACAACAGTGGGTAATTAAAAATCAATTGGATGGTCTAGTCTAGTAGTAAAGGTGTTCTTGATGAGCTAAGGGTCACTTGTTCGAAACTTTCTAAGCTCACTTTTTATTCTGAAATATTTCCACTTGTCACAGATAGTGACATGTGACACTTCTAGATCAGAAAATTAAATTTATTTAAATATTAAATATATAATTATATTAATTTTATTATTGATTATATCACCGTCTCTGTTAAAAATTAGTGATAAATAAATTGATTGAATCATTTAAATAATTGAGTAATATAATTAATTATTTCAAAATATCAGTAATTAAAATAATTTATGATTATAGTTCGATTATCGCCCGTAGTTTACCTTTTTTTTATCTCTAAAGATTATTGGCAAGTGCCAAACTCTTTGAACATTTTTTTAATGGATAGCATGATTTGATGTTGGTTGTAGTTTTATAGTTTATTGTCCACCCGTGTGAATATAAGAATTCCAGCCCCCCCCCCCCCTCCAAACACAGTAGACAATGATGGCAATTCGTCTTTCATTTGTAGCCTTGCATAGGGGGTGACCTTCTTTTTAGCTTTAGTCATCATGATGTAAGTGTTTTGAAAACCAGAAAAAACTATTCACGCTGATTTTTAAATTCATAGATAGATAGATAGATTTATGATGCGAAATGCCGGAGTATTTTCAGGTTGCCGTAGAGCAATGGACATGAAAGTAAGTAGATTAATGTGCTCAATGTTTTGGAGAAGATGACATATATTTGCAACCACCTGCTGGTTGCCAACGCTACTTCATAAGCTATGCTGATTGTAACATTTACCGTTTTGCTATATCTTACTCGATTCCGGTGTGAGTTTCGGATACGTGTATATATCCGACATAAATATATTCTATCATTCTAATATTTTCCTTGTATTTGAATAATAATGTCCCCATATCCCGTATATTCAAAGAAAAATAAATAATCAAAAGCAACATTCATCGATCTTGATTTATTTCTTTGTATGTCTCATGTCTTTCTTAAAATTTATGTTCGAAAATCGTAAATATTTCTTTCATTAATGTAGTCTTTAAAATTTAAATATAAAATTTTCTTTTAAAAATACAATGTGTATTAAAAAAGAGAGAGAAAAGAACGAGAACTTCAGATGGCATCTAGTTTAAGAAAAATTACAAAAGGTATTTCGGGTTTTGATTACAAAAACATCTTCACTATTAAGTGTTGGGCCATATTTATTTATAACCTTTTTCCTTAAATTTTTAATCTCTCTTTTCTTTTTATTTGTGTTTCTTTTCCCTCCATGACCTGACCTTCGTTTAGCTAACAGTCTCAGCTTTCTCTCCTAATATATTCGTCAAGCTCACCCCATTTTCCATCCACTGAGTTTATCTGCAACTCAATAACTATTACTCTTTTCTCTCAAAGTTGAGCTAATTGCAGAAGATGGCAACTCAAGGGACCAACAAAGCCGGTCAGAAAAAAGGAACCAAGAAGCCAAATGGCTCAGTTATGCAAAAGCCTAATACCACCATGGCTGCTGGGAACATAACGGTTACCAGTTGTGGCTACATGCGATGTAGAACATCGGAATTCTTTCCGTTAAGGTTTCTCAAGAACCTCGGTGGAAAAGTAGCTAAAGGTTTACATGTCGTGTCCATGAGAATTAGGCCTTCCCGTAAGGTTTCTTCTACATCTTCTTCATTAGGAAGATCAAAACCGATTGTAACTCCTGCTGATTCTCATAGAAATGCTGCCATCGAAGACTGCATCGAATTTATCAACTCTTCTGCCTCTCTGCCTAGATCAAACTCTGTTTCTGCTATATAATTCTCCTTGAACTTTATGGTCAGAAAACATGGTTTGATGAAACTGTTGAGCATCCCATCTGTTCCTAGTAGCTTATATCTACATTATCGTTTTCTGTTTAGTTAATGGGAGGCTTGTTTAGTTTACCTATGAAAGACAATGGAGTATCTTATGTTATCCTTTTGGTTTGGTTTCTATCACTGTATACATCTTGTTGTGAGTGCATATTTCAGACAGGCTTACCAGCAAATGAGCTATAGGTTCCCAAATCAGACCACTAGATACATTTTATTTGTTTTTAACACTTTTCTAAAAGAAATTTCTAAACCTTAAAGATATTACAATATTCAAAGAGGAACAATACCCGAATCAAGTGCATAAGACTTGAGTTGAGAACTTGAGACAGCAGCCACATGGCCACATGATATGTTTTTCAATCCACACGATATTAGAATTCTCAGCTTTTTTGACACAAACCTGGTACAGAATGCCTGGTTATGTTTGCTTCGGTGCAAATAGTCTATGGACAACATATGAATATTTCTGTACTGTCCTTCATTGGCCTTGAGGGGCAGAGTCAAGGAGGAGACTAGGTTAGCCGAAAGACCGAAATCGACATGCAGAGTAGTTTAACATTCATAATTATCTTTTGTCATTCATCCTTGTCGTTTGTCATTTGGGGCCCAACAATCGCACTCAATTTATCAATTTTGTTCACAACCAAAGCTTGATTTGAACCCCATGATTAAACAAAGCCATGTTTGGAGTTTGGATTTGACAACGTTTTCCTAAAAGAAATACTACACAGCAAGATGCCCAGCAAATCTGATGTTCAACCATATGACATAAATGAGTTAGGAACGAGATGCAGTT